AAAAAAAAAAAAAAAAAAAAAAAAAAAAAAGAAAAGAAAAGAAAAAAGAAAGTAATGTAGATAGAATGAAGTTAGTCAGTGACAGCTGGTCAATAGTTTTGTCAGACTCAGAGGACATGTAGCATTAATGTTTATTGAACCATAGGAGTCCAACAGGATTAACATGTTATTAATCAGAAGAGGTTAAGATTTTGGCAGCAAAGAAGAAAGAGAACTAAAACTAAAGCAAATTAAAAGAGCCTTTTAAGTCAAAACACTTATTTGGTTTTATAGACTCGCCACTCTTTAATTCTTCTATTTGTACTATATTCGAGAATCTTTCTGTTAAACAATTTAAATCAATCATTGGAGTCAAATATTTTATACATAATACTTAAATGATATATTATCAGTATCTTTTGTCATAGGTATTCATGAACTCAAATTCATATAATGAATTCATTCTAATATCTAAGACTTTTAGACATAGAAATTTTAAATACCTTTATACCATCCATCACACTCTATTCTTATGTTGTTGAATAATTTTTTAGAAAACTTTAAAATAATGTTGTTTGTATTCACATAGGTTATGAGGATTATTAGAGTCTCATGTAAAAAAATCACTCTCATAATCAATGCAGGTCCTGTCAAAACATCCAATTAGTTAGGTTTTTCTCTCTGATAATCTTCAGGGAATAGTCAAAGAAATAAACATCTTTTATAGGGCCCCATTTCAGCTGTCTAAATAAATCTATCTCATTTTTTTTTTTTTTGGAGAGGTTTTTCGCTATAGGGCGCGTTCGTTCGCCAGACAGACAGAGAGAGACATAGAGACAGAAAGCGAGAAATCACCCCCCCCAGGGGGGATGGTCACGCCGCAATCCCTTCTCCTCCATTCTCCTCTCGGGATCTTGGGCACACACGCATACACGCCCAGTGTGAGTTTTAAGCCACTGGGTCCGGGACGCGAACCGCGATCAACTATGTGGTAGTCCAGCGACATAGCAATTACACTAACTGCTGGTTCCCTAATAAATCTATCTCTTAATCTGAAGGAAAAGGCAATTTTGGATATCTGACATCTTTGTAATTTTTTCATGTAATTGAATCTATCCATTTTCCAATAGTAACTATAGTATCTCATAATTCCTACACATTTTTGCCTAACTTACCTACAAAATTCAAGTTTAGATACATCAAAACCAATGTTAGCCTGCATGTTTTAATTACATGTAGATTTATATACTTCTTTATTAAGAACATAGTAATACTCATAAAAGAGAATGCAACTATTCTTGTCCATGAACAAAGCCCTTTGTTGGAGAGATGGTTAGCAGACTTGGTACACTAAAAGCTGTGGAATACTATTAATAAGTTGTAAATTTAGAGGAAAATCAAACAGCTTGACAACCTCCTATTAAAAATTCACATTAAAGAAACATAATAAACATCCTATTTTAGCCCTGTAACTTTTGTAGAAAGTATTCAAATTTCATTGTAGGAGGTATTAAATTTTTGTTTTCTGGGGCCAGCAGGTAGTGTGGTGGTTAAGGGTGTTGGACTCCCACATAGCCAACTGTGGTTTTAGTCCCAGACCAGCTTGCCTTCTCCCTTTCCCTCTCTCTCTCTTTCACTCTGTTCCTCTCTGGTTATATTAAAATTATAAAATTAATTAATGAACTAATTAATTAATTAAAAAGTTAAACAATTCTTTAAAAAATTGTTTTTGTTTTCTGGACACAATAATCAATAGTATTGAAGATAAAAGTAAAAGAAAAAAACACAAGGATTTATTAATATTTTCTAATCATCTAACCAAAGAGAGATCTTTTGCAAATATATATATTTTTTAAAGTAATTTCACAAAATTATTAAGAACATTGTGCTATAATAGTAAAATGTTTAGAAAATATAAACCAAACACAAAGGGGGAATCAAGTCAAATGTAATCCTATTACTCAGAGATAACCCCTATTTATGTTTTTTTATTATGGTAAATATTGTCGCTTCTTTATTCATTAGGGATATTTCTCTGTAGTTATTTTTTTATTGTTTTTTTTTTTTTTTTT